ATATAAGGTAACCTATATAATATTATAGCCTATGTTAAGCAGTTTTTTTAGATTGTAATGATGAAATATTTTTTCAAATCGGTCCAGTAGTTTCAAAGCCAATTACACCCTCCCCCTCCCTCTTATACCCCCTTAAACCCCCATCCAAACAAACTAACAATGAAATCTTTCTTCTTAATAATATTAGTATGGATGTATAATTTTATAAAATGTTCACTAACAAGAATCTATTTATTTTTTCACCAGGTCACAAAATGTTCGCAATCTCTAAACATCAAAGGTATCACAAAAGACATTTTCAAAGGAAAGCGTTACATCATAGTCCATGCTGGAAGCGAAAAGGGGTTTGTTTCAAACTGCCTCCTCATATTCACTGGCAGAAATAATTTGAAAGACTACCATTCAGAAATGAATGCGCATAACTTTACGAAGTGGATTAAAGAAAAACTAATACCAAATCTTCATGAGCCATCCATTATAGTTATGGACCTGTACCAAGACAATTGGTTATTTGCTTAGGCGATAATACCAGCAGTGAAGATGATGATGTGAATGATGACAGCGCTGCTTATGAAGGTGGCAACGAAACTTTTCTTAACATCGAATATTTGGAATCCGATGATGAAAGTGATTAATAAATGTCTTTATTAACTATGTATGATGCGTTTTTTTTTATGCTGATTCAATAAAAATGCTTGGTAAAACCTTTCATAAGCATAGGTACCTACTGTAGGTATTAAAACAGAAACAAAATATCGTCGTCTAAATTGGTTAAGGGCTGATTTTTCAATCGTCGGATAACTTTTAACTGAAGAATAACTTAGAAATAAATTTGTTGTAATATTAGTTCAAAGTTGTGCCTTCGCGAGCTACCTGGAAATCGGGCTTTCGAAATTCGCTGTTTTCGTAGGCAAAAATCCAATTTGAACGAGATTTTGTCAATAGACATTCCGGAAAAACGTATGATAATTACGATGGTATAAGTCAAAAGAAGCTATAACAATAAATTATATGACTAAAATCATTTCGAAATCTGCCAAATTCTCGATTTCTGCATGAAAAATGTGACAACGCTCTTAATTTGAACTAGCTGTCAAAGCGACACCGCGATACGAATTTGTGCAAACAGCTGAATTTCGTTCGTAGTCCAGTCGCGTCGCAGTTGAAAATTTTTAGCATAATTGGGGCGCAGACTACTTTCAGTATTCTTCTGAACATCACAAACGTTTCAGGACGTGAAACCTCAGTTTACGAATCTCATCAACACGACCATCGGCAGCCAGGACGTCGAAATGCTTCTGGAGAACTCGCTGGATGATTCGTCGCTCGCTTCGCCGGCCACGCCTCTTTCTATTGGTAAGCGCTCTCATTGATTTATTTATAAAACCAAAGAGAATGTAAAGTAATGACAATAAAATCGCATTTGTTTTAAATAGACCCAAGTGAGAAACGTGGTACTTTACAATACAGTACAGATTTCTAGTTTCAGATTTATTTCAATTCTTAGGCTGAGTTGCACCAACTTTGAGCGTAACTAAACAATAACCGGTGTTTTTTGTATAGAGTTTGACAGATTATTTCTGATGTTTGTTAAAGCTAAAGCAAGATGGTGCAACTCAGCCTAACTGCATCCACTTCTATTAACCAGTTGTCGCCAAAGTTCGACCCCCAAAAGTGATATTTATTCAGGAATAAAGAAGGTATATTTGATGAAATTAATCCGCAGAAATATCAAGGAGCATCTGAAAAAATCTTTCAATTAATATCACACAACTTTTACATCAAAAATGCTATTGATAAGCTAGCCAATAGGTACGTAAATCTACGTACATATTGGCTAGCTTATTTAGTAATCACTAAAAACCATTCCATACCATCCAGGTGGCAACAGCAACCCATACAACCCCACCATGACCGCCACGCCCAGCCAAGAGCGATCCAACACATCCGCTACCCCGGCCAGCAGTAAGAAGAAAAAGGAATCCAAACAGAAGATTGTCACCGGGTACATTCTATACTCTAGCGAAGTCCGCAAGGCAATTGTGGCGAACAATCCCGACTGTACTTTCGGTGAGTGTGATTCTTATGGATAGTTTATTTTTATACATCATCATCATCATTTCAGCCATAGGACGTCCACTGCTGAACAATGATCATAGACCTACCCCAATGATTTCCACAATGGCCGATTGGTGGTGACCTGCATCCAGCGCCTTCCCGCTACCTTTATGAGGTCGTCGGTCCACCTTGTAAGTGGACGTCTTACTTATATTGAGGATTACTTATTTAAGTTTTTTTTTTCTAAAGAATTAGGGGAAAAGTATTCTTTTTTATAGTTCTAGCACTTTAATGAGTCAGTGCATGCATGAGGTATAGGAGCGGCATGGGAGCAGTGACATTGATATAGATCGTTTCATCCACAAAGACGCGCCCCACCATTCTTCCGCTAATGTTTGAGTGTTATCGGTACACGCTAGATTATTATCCATGAGACACTACAATAATGACGCTCGGATTGCTCGGATCAAACTCCCCACACCCCGCGCTTCCCTCGACCAAAAATTGGTGGGGCGCGTCTTCGTGGATGAAACGATCTATATTATGACGTGACAGAGCATACAAATCTGAAGTCTCGTTGACGATTGACGTCTCAAAAACACCCTCCCGTGCCACTACCATACTTCAAGCACTGGCTGAGTTGAGCGCTAGACATATTCATAATATGATTATTTCATAGTATGTAATCTGTTACTCCAATTCAAACTTTCCTGGTTCTTATCCATTGATAAAAAAGTCTGCTTTTTCTTGCGGGATAGTCCGCTTGAAGTTCTGACAAAACAATTTTGTGTACAATAATGTCAATCTTCATATTTTATCTCTAATTAATCAGATAATTAACAAGAATCACCTTATGATTTATGATAAAGCGTTACAAATGGACAGAGTTCCTTTCGCAATCTTGTAAAATATCAAGAAGTTTATCATCAATTCAATTCATCCAGTTCCTCTCGAAAGTATGCAGCTTTTCCAAAGCATTGTCAGCTTGTCACTTGTCATCCAACTGCAACTAACAGTTGATAATGCTTTTTAAAGCTAATTTGAACCTTATGTCCTATCACCTAAGATGATCCGTATGACGTTTCGAGTTTGAAAGATTTAGAGATGTCACATAACTAAACCATAGCGATTTATCTATCGATTTTTTTCGAAGAGTTAGTATAACCTACTTTTAGAGAAATATTTTGTATAGGTGTTATTTAACAAAAAAACATGTTTTTTTTTAATTTTTAATTTATAGCCTGACCAGGAACATAAAAACCCTCGCCATGTTGCGGAAAACTAATGGTACTAATTTCTTTTAATGGCAACAGTAACTGAAAACTTCATTGACATGTCACCTTGCATGTCAGTCTATTGTTGTCAAAGTGTAACAAACTTTATTTTAAACTAGCTTGCCGCCCGCGGCTTCGCGCGCGTGGACCCCTGAACCCTATTTTTTTCCAAAATAAAACTTAGCCTATGTTACTCGTGGAGAATGTAGCTTTCGAATGGTGAAAGAATTTTTAAAAACGGTCCAGTAGTTTTTGAGCCTATTCATTACAACCAAACAAACAAACAAAGTTTTCCTCTTTATAATATTAGTGTAGATGTGTGCAATTGATTTTGTGAATTAAATTGCTAAAATATTTGTATAGTCGTGAAAGAAAAGTGGTTCACGATGTGTTAATGTATTTGTCGAAGAGAAATACTAAGGGTTCGGACANTCATAAGGGGTGTCAATTTTCGTTGAATTTCATAATTTATTGTGTAAGTTAAAAAATAATTGAGATAGATTTTTTTCTTATTTTTCCTAAAGTAGTCATGACTATGTCCATCCTGTGGCGTCGGCTTATCCTTGAATTTTGGGACACGTATACATAGTTGGTCAGGGAATTTTGAAAAAATAGTCAGGGAAAGTCAGGGAAAAGTCAGGGAATTTTTTCGAACATTTGCAGTGGACACCCTGATAATATTTTTCGTTCATTTATGAAAATATCAAATTAGCCCGTAATCCTGAATCCTGATACATAAATTTAGCCTATTAATTTAACACATGTACGACTGTACTCAGTGTTGCACTATCAAATGCAATTGAAGCGCCTCTATGCCAGGGTTTTTATGTTCCTGGTCAGGCTATACAAATATTATTGTAACAATTTTTTATTGATACTATTCAAATTTCATGGTACGTGTTCAAAAAAACGATTCCTAAAAAGTACTGGTTCAGTTTCTTTAAATTAAAAACTATTAATTTATTTTCAATGCGTTTATTACAGTCAATAATCGAAAAATATAGTTGATTTTTGTGATATTTTTAATAACTAAGTATTCACTGCAATCGATTAATGAACCGCGGAAATAATCGATTTTATTATACATTTTATTATACAAGAAATACCCCAGCACTAAATCTATTCCGTTTCACACATTGCGTACATTAAATAAAAAACATTTTTACATCGTATTTAATTAAAATATAATCAATAGACTCAGATTTTACTATATATTTCAAGACAAGTAGTTAATTTTTTTTATTATATTGCTAATAAAATACAAACATTTTTTCAAAAATATTCTGCATATGTAGTATGAGTAATATGGATAACCTTGAAGTGTCATACGGATCATCTTACGTGAAAAAGACTATAGTAAGGTGTTTGTTTCGGTAAGTAGCACTCCCCCTGTCATCTCTGTATATTTTTCCGACATAGCCATCGCATGTACCCATATACTTTCACTTTTAAATGTTAAAAACATGTTTATTCTGTCACAGTTTTGTTTCATGTCTATTTCTGTTTCATTTGTGATAAATGTACGAAATTCGTGTTTTACAAAATCAATGTTTTTGTCTCATTTTTGACACAGTTGTTTTGGTATTAAGATACGGATTTTCTATTTTTTATCCCCTACCAGTAATTATGTTACATTATTCAAAATTATATTAACAATTTTTAATATATTTATTGGCATATAATTATAAACCATACTGATCGAAAATCTATATAAAATTTAGCAACCAAGGATTCGAAACGTTTGAAATTAGGTAGGTGTTGTTTTATATTAACCTAGATATTTGCATAATATATTTACTAGCATTAAAACCTGGATTTGGGTGATTTTTAGACATTAGACTATAGTTTGGTGTGTAAATTATAAAAGTAATTAAATATACGTAAAAGAAAAATATTACATGTATGCATTGCATGATGGTTTTTGTAGTAATCGATTTATTTAATAAAAACGCAGAAAAACTACTAAAATATTATATTTTTTTGAGCTTTCGTGTAGTAGATAGATATCTTTAAATATTTTGACATAATCATAATATTCTTTCACTTCTTTGTGTAATCTTGCACGTTTTCTACCGCTTAGTTGCTTTTAACTAACTTATAGTATTCAAAATGAAAAAAAAAGAAATATGAAAGTTTTGCCAGCCAAACTATCGACGTACAGTCTATCGAAATAAAGTCCGGTCACCGAGCACATGGAATTTCTTCCAATAACCCCAAGCTACCCATTAGGCCGCTCGTCGCACAGTCGCGACAGCAACATAATGAGGATCATTTCGATTTTTAGCTGTGAATGCAGATTTATAGGGCTAAGAAATCCTTAATACACAGTGCAAAAATTTTTGTTCTACGACAAAAATTGACGAAGTTATGGCCAAATTACTAAAAAAGTTCACTGACCGCCCGGCGCGGGGACGATGACGTCATTATATCCGATCCGAACGCTGCCGGCGTACTGCGTGGATAGAAAATATTTTTTTCTAGCCAAATTATCAGTTTTAGAGAAAAACTTGTAATGACATTTATTCATCAGAATAAAGTAAGCTATCGATAGGTAATTTTTAAAAATGGAAATTGTGAAAAATAACGCAAAAAATCCATACGCTCATACGATTCAATGGCACGCAGAGACGCGATTGGGGTCTCCGCGGTGGTATATTTGGCGATTTATTCAAATAAAGTGTACATAAGTGTTGTTAGAGTCATATCTTCTTCCAAGTAAAATATAAAAATGTATAAGTATTAATTTATTTACTTCTAACAATAAGGTATAACTTCTAACAATAAGACATTGCTATGAAAATCATTTCGATGTACACTTAATAATACCTACCTGTTATTTAGTTTTTCTGAGTTAAACCTACGCACCTACCTATCTATTCGCCGTTCCCATGGGCGGGCCAGCTGCTGCAGGAAAGGACAGCCGCTCCGTGCTGGAAATCTATTTAATCTTAGCCTAGAAGCTGGGTATGACTACCCCGCCCCTCTCCTCTCCCCAGGTCATAAGCTGGGCATGACTTCCCCCTCGGCCAGAAGTTGGGTATGATTTACCCCCCCCCCCCCCCTCCCGGCCCGAAACTGGGTATGACTTGACCCCTCCCCCTCCCCCCAGGCCAGAAGCTAGGTAAGGCTTGCCCCTACCCCCAGGCCATAAGCATAAGCTGGATATGACTCCCCTTCGGCCAGAAGCTGGGTATGACACCCCCCCCATGCCAGAAATGCCAGAAACTGGGTATGACTTGACCCCCCCCCCCTCCCCCAGGCCATAAGCTGGGTAAGGCTAGCCCCTCCCCCCAGCCCTAGAAACTGGTTATGACTTGACCCCTCCCCCCCCCTCTCCCCAAGCCAGAAACTGGGTATGACTTGCCTCTCCCCCCTCCCACCAAGGCCAGAAGCTGGGTAAGGCTTGCCCCTCCCCCTAGGCTATAAGCTGGGTATGACTTATCCCCCCCCCCCAGGCCAGAAACTGGGTATTAGCATCATATTATGTATTATTATGTTCAATACAAACAATCATTAAGTTACACTCACCCCAACCGCGTCTCCGCATTGCATCGAATCCTATGAAAATGTGGTTTTTGGACATAGCAATACTTATTTTTCACAATTTTTATTTTTAAAAATTACTGGTCGATAGGTTACTTTATTTTGAAGAATAAATGTTATTAAAAGTTTTTTTCTAAAACTGATAGTTTAGCCGGAAAAAAATATTTTCCATCCCATTAGTACGCCGGCTGCGCTCGATTCGGATATAATGACGTCACGCGGCCTTGCGTACGTTGACTTTTAGCGGCAAAAACGGCCTATGTTTATTACTTAATATCTTCGTAAGTAATGGTCCGATTTGGATAATTCAAAAAGATATATCTTTCTTATGTCTTAAAGATTAACGTAGATACTAGTTTTATTGAATTTTCTACAACAGTACTGATCCTCATTACGCGCGAGCAATAAGGATGGGTAGCTTGGGGTCATTGGACGAAATTCTATCTGCTCGGCGACCGGACTTTAGCACATATTACAACTAATAATAAGATGCCGCGGTGTTAAGCTTGTGTTCTGTCGTCTTACATTAATGTGACATTCGTGTACTCATTCATAACATCTATTCATTCGCATACTATAATATTTTATTATTCACATAAGCGGCTGTGTTTTGAATCAGGTCTGTTCCATTGCATAGTGTTAAGGCATATTACATTGCTACGTGACGTAAGGAACACGTAAGCTACACGGACAGCTGGCTGCCACATAGCATTGTGACTTTTAAGGTGTTATGTTACCACTTAACGTCACGTCTACTTAACGTCTTAACAGTTGGTTCGAATCGCTTTTATTCTGCACTTGGTACCGAAATTGTAAAGCAACTGTTTGACATTTAACCCTTGAACATAAACTACAGTACAGTCAAATTGCAGTTAGATTACTATAGCGTTGCAGATGTGTGCGACCTAACATTAGTCACACATCACTTAAGTGGGCAAAACACCTTTACAACCCAATTCAATCATATTTTAGAGCTCCACCAAAACCCAATCACGATTACTTGATCAATAAAACAAATTTTTCTAGGCGAAATATCCCGGATCGTGGGCAACGAATGGCGTTCTCTGCCCACTTCGACCAAGCAGAGTTGGGAAGAGCGCGCGACGCGTTGCAACGAAGAGACGGCCGCTAGGCTCGCCGAGGAGATGCGAGAGTTGTCACAACATGTGAGTGAGCCTGAACAAGTCGTTCCCATTAGGGAACGGCTTCGCTCGCGTAAACAGAAGTAGTATACGTCATCAGAGTTGGGAGGAGCGCGCGACGCGCTGTAACGAGGAGACGGCCGCTAGGCTCGCCCATAAAGTTAATATTCCTTCGGAATAGAGCAACAAAGAATGAGCGAGCGAGATGTCACTATCTGCAACCCTGTGTGATAAAAAGAGATGTGTGATGCCGTCACCGTCACGTCAATAGAACCATTTTTGCAAAAGATTTGACAGGCAGTGACACTAAGAGGCACAAAGAAAATTTCAATTAATTGTTTTTTATAAAAATTTCGTAAAATCCTGTTTATTTTTGGAAAAATTGTATTCTAATATAATGGTGACCGGTTCCGTCCTTGATTGTGATGTACACCAAAGGAATAATCCCGCAAAATATTCATTTCACAGGTAAATTAATTTAAATCGACACCTCCAAACTTTAGCTTTATTTTTGTGAATGCGCTTAGAATTTTAAGCACTAAGTGTGATAATTATGTTCTTTAAACATTAATTTAAGTTGTGAGCAAATATTTCAAGCACATAATCCAGAATTTACGAATATTTTGTGTAAAGAAATAATTTTCGTTTTACACTAGGGCTGTACCACAATCGATACAAATATTTTGTGCGCTGTCTATCACAGTCACTGCTGCTTATTAGGTACATAAATGGCGTTTATATGAATTTGGAAAAGTATTATTTTGTAATTACCTGTTAGTTAATAAACTAAACTAAATATTAGATACTAAACATAATAATAAATATTATGTTCATGCACACAAATGAATCGAACCCGCTACCTCCGGAATAGTAGTCCGTTTCGAACCACTACACCAAACGGCCAATAACGATTATTACAACGTTAGAATCCAATTTTTTACGTTATCAACAGAATTATCATTTTTTAATTATCGTTCTACTCCTACTAATATTATAAATGCGAAAGTTTGTATGGATGTCTTGATGTTTGTAACTATTTCACTCTTTCAAATATATTATAAGTTGAATAATTTTAATCTTCTGAGTTGTTATTTTATTTTCTTAGGCCACTCTCCCAATTCCCAATTTACAATCCCATTCCATCCTATTTTAGTTCTATTAATATTATGACTGTTAGGTGTTAATTAATATAATCGATATCGATATGCATGTGAAAAGTAACGACATACATCACTGACATGCACACATATTTATTTTTACACACACAAATGACATCTCAATTTCGGTCTCGTTTGACAGCTCGTGATTGTTGCTCTATTCCGAAGGAATATTAACTTAATGGGCTCGCCGAGGAGATGCGAGAGTTGTCACAACATGTGAGTGAGCTTGAACAAGTCGTTCCCATTAGGGAGCGGCCTGCGGCTGCGACCGCGTAAACATAAGTAGTATACATCATCAGACATAGTAGGGAGGAGCGCGCGACGCGCTGCAACGAAGAGACGGCCGCTAGGCTCGCCGAGGGAGGATTCCGTCAACTGGGACCGCAATTAACTGGGACCGCGGTCCCAGTCGCCGGATGCGTAAAAATTAAATAATTTTCTTCCGGCGACTGGGACCACTCATGGATTTTAGTACTGTACCGATTTTGGATTAAATAATATTTTCTTTAAAGTTATCTATGAGTGGTCCCAGTCGCCGGAAGAAAATTATTTAATTTTTACGCATCCGGCGACTGGGACCGCGGTCCCAGTTAATTGCGGTCCCAGTTGACGGAATCCTCCCTCGGCGAGCCTAGCGGCCGTCTCTTCGTTGCAGCGCGTCGCGCGCTCCTCCCTACTATGTCTGATGATGTATACTACTTATGTTTACGCGGTCGCAGCCGCAGGCCGCTCCCTAATGGGAACGACTTGTTCAAGCTCACTCACATGTTGTGACAACTCTCGCATCTCCNGCCTCGCCGAGGAGATGCGGGATTTGTCACAACATGTGAGTGAGCTTGAACAAGTTATTCCTATTAGGGAGCGGCTTCGCTCGCGTAAACAGAAGTAGTATACGTCATCAGAGTTGGGAGGAGCGCGCGACGCGCTGTAACGAGGAGACGGCCGCTAGGCTCGCCGAGGAGATGCGGAAGTTGTCACAACATGTGAGTGAGCTTGAACAAGTCGTTGTTCACATTAGGGAGCGGCTTCGCTCGCGTAAACAGAACTAAAGCCTGGTCCGTGAGCACGTAGAATTTTGTCCAATGACCCCAAGCTACCCATCCTTATCGCTCGCGCGCAATCACTGCGGGCGCGCGTCGCACAGTCGTGACAGCAATATAATTACGCGCAAGCAATATAATTACCTGCAAGCTTTCAAGAGGAGAGCGTATCTTTACCTTAAAGGCCGGCAACGCACCTGTAACGCCCCTGGGTCTGCGGGTGTCTATGGGCGACGGTAATCACTTACCATCAGGTGATCCGTCTGCTCGTTTGCCTCCTGTCACATAAAAAAAAAAAAAATTCTACGTGCTCACGGACCAGGATTTAGTATACGTCATCAGACATAGTAGGGAAGACCGCGCGACGCGCTGCAACGAGGAGACGGCTGCTAGGCTCGCCGAGGAGATGCGGGAGTTGTCACAGCATGTAAGTGTGTTTTTCGGATGGACTCATCATCATCATCAACAACCCTTTACAGTCCACTGCTGGACTATGAGCCTCCTCCACTATAGTAGAGGGTTTTGCCATATTCCCCACGCTTGGCAGGCGGGTTGGAGATCGCAGTTTAAAAGATTGATGTTTGTCAGAGCGCTGCTGCCCATTCTCTGTTGATGTGTAGTCCCTAAGTCGCCTCTTAGACACCCGCGGGAAGAGTAGGGGTTGGTGACAAATGTATTCTACTCTGCAGTCACCACATGGCCTGTGCTGGATGGACTGTGCCGATTGAATAGAATAGAAACACGTTTATTTGCCACATGAAAACACATACAACATACATACATAAAACAAACAGTACATAAATAACATAGCCCTAAGCGGCTTTCTCAGCTTCTCTAGGACGTCCACTGCTGAACATAGGCCTCCAATGATTTCCACAATATCCGGTCGGTGGCGGCCTGCATCCAGCGCCTTCCCGCTTCCTTTATGAGGTCGCGTCGGTCCACCTTGTGGATGGACCTAATCCTAATCCGTTGGGCTATGTCAGCTACTTTATATGTATAGATGTATTGCAAGTATTTTTATTTATTTATATGATATTCCCGTTGACCAGACCCCAATGGAGAACACATTCGAGTGCGCGTGGGACAACTGCGACTACCAGTTCGAGGAGCTGGCGGACTGTATGGAACACTGCATCGGGGATGGTGGAAACAGTAAGTGTTCACTCTTCATCATCATCATCATCACCAGTTTGTGTCAGCCATGTTGATATACAGGGTGTTAGGTAAATGGGTATATGAGCCGACACTAGCCCATGTTAACATGGGCATATAAATGGTGGGGTGAAGTCAGAAATTTGATATCTTCATTTTTATTACTTTAATTTTCATACAAATCTGATTTTACAAAATTTATTTTGTATGAAAATTAAAAAAAATAAAATGATGATATCAAATTTCTGACTTCNTTTATTACTTTAATTTTCATACAAATCTGATTTTACAAAATTTATTTTGTATGAAAATTAAAAAAAATAAAATGATGATATCAAATTTCTGACTTCACCATACCATTTATATGCCCATGTTAACATGGGCTAGTGTCGGCTCATATACCCATTTACCTAACACCCTGTATAATACATATCACAATGTATCGGTGGTGGTGGAAACAGTAAGTGTTCACTCTTCTTCATCATCATCATCACCAGTTTGTGTCAGCCATGTTGATGTGTAATACATATCACAATGTATCGGTGGTGGTGGAAACTGTAAGTGTTCACTCTTCATCATCATCATCAGTTTACATCAGCCATGTTGATATGTAATACATATCACAATGTATCGGTGGTGGTGGAAACAGTAAGGCCCAGAACACACGGTGAAATGCAACTGCAACTTCTAGTTGCTTTTGAGTTGCATCTAAGTTTCTGGTCAGTTTGAAATGGTCGCGTCAGTGGTCTCTCAACGGAATCTGTGGCAGAAACTTAGATGCAACTCAAAAGTAACTAGAAGTTGCAGTTGCGTTTCACCGTGTGTTCTGGGACTAAGTGTTCACTCTTCATGATCATCATTAACATAGCCCTTTCGGACCCGCGCTTAAACTAGAAAGAAATTTGTAATTTTGAACATGAATTTTAGGTAATTTGGGGCCGCAGATTACGAATCTGCTATAATTTTCCAGATTTTCCGCCGCCATCTTGGAAAATTCATATACCAACAATTGTATCAAACGGGGCCCTTCACTTCCTACGTACAATTGTGAGGGTCAAAATTGTAAGGGTTTTGGAAATTTTATCAATGGCATGTATTCCGAAAAACGTATTTATAACCAGTAAGGAATAAACAGGTTTAATTTTTATACCAGTATTTGCTATTTAATATTGATTTGTGGGCAAAACCAGCTGTTCCATGAGCTCAACAGTAAATATAGCGCTCGAAATATTCCTATGGAGTTTTAATATCTCCTGGATCATGAACAGCATCTCCTGGAAGATGTTGACGATTGAAGGGCTTCGTCTGCTATACCGCTTGCATACTCAGAGGTATGTATCGTCATGAATGTCTGAGCCTTCATCAGAAGAAGAGGAGTAGTTCATCTGAAGTATTCGAAACTAGCTTTTGTCGTTGTCATCGCTCTCATCCCCAGATGCATTGAGCATCTCTGCCATAGTAGCGTCGTTTAAAATCGGAAACATGGTGCGGAAACCATGCAAAATTAATAATTACGAGAAACTTAAAATACGCATAAGGTATTGTAGGTAGGGCCCACGTCGATACAATTGTGTCAGTAAAGTTCGTTAAGCCGTTACGCCAAAGCCTTTGCTTACAAGTAGTCACTGTTATCACAAAATGATGCTATTTTTAACTATTTGTCTAATCAATAACTTGTATATTACTACAATTAAAAAATAAAACCATAGTATGTACTTTCTTTCGCCAAGTCGGGGAGCGCAATCAGTCATGAACTGTACAGGTTGTAACCTGCTCACCAACTGCGCTTCGTACAAAATTTGCACGGGAGGTGAAAGAGCGCATCTCGCACAATCGTACGATACTCAGCCCATCCACTTCCGATGTAAAACTAATGAGATAATCTCGATTTTGTAACCCGCACAATTGTATTGGAGCGGTCCGAAAGGGATAGGTGGTGGATTTGCACACTTGTCATCGGAAATGTAAAAGTAAATCTGTAAAAAGTTGAAAAAATCAATTGCCTCTTTTCCTATTTTTATTGATTGCGACCTTTCGCAAGGTCGTGGGTTCGATTCCCATCTGAGGCAGTCGATGTTTTCAACTCCTTAATAACATTGTTTGAAATGCAATTCTTAAAGGCATTAATAAATAACTTATGTGAACGTGAATCGTTTTGATGAGCAAGTTGCAGACTTCAATATCTAATGTAATCTTTGTCTAACATTATTATTGTACTCCTTCACATTAACCTGCAATTATTGTGTTCATTTTAAACTAACACCATATTTCATTGCACGCTGCCAGTGATTGGGACATTTGTTGAAACAAAGAAGAGTAAGTTGGAACGTGAGTATTGTATTTCTACATATTTACTAGTCAATAAGTTTGGGGGATACACATTTTACCCAGTGTGCAATTTGATTTCGGCCGGCCCAACAACCGGGAATTACTATTGGTTATGAGTTTGTAGTGTAGCGGCACTATCGATTCTATGATGCTGGAGATCTATTGAAAAGTTTTGTTTAGAGGTTGCCTGTGGGTACTATCATTTTATTCGGAAACGCGAATGAATAATGGAGCTTTCAAAAACAAATCCCGACTGTTTAACATACATTTTAGATCACCTAAAACCAGTTGCACGGGGGCCCATAGTTTCTAACGCCCTTCCCAATCTTACACAGGCTGGATGTGACGACCTAAAACCACCCTTATTCCAAGCTATGAAGAACCATTTGCACACTTGATTTCCCTTAGTGTCTATAGACCAGCTTCAAGACCATTTACAGTGTCTGACTGAAGCCATTTGATTAATTTTGATAGTCAATTGAAAGACAAGAAATAAAGAAAAAAAATTGAGAATGACTCCCTGGTGTATCAGAGCCAAAGCTTACGATGCGTGACGGCGCCGCACCGCAAAGATTTCGCCGTATCGGCACACGAGCGGAGCGTCACCGCTACGGCGTCGCGTCGCCGCCGCAACGCATCGTGTGCTTTGGCGCTCATTGTCAAAACCCCTGCGGGCGGTCAGACTGTAAGATCCCGGCTACTCGGGAATCGCATGGGGACGTTGTAGAATTTGTAGAAGCGCCACGCAAGTCGCGTTTGTCACGGCAGTGGTGCTGCCACTGCCTCTAGTTTGAAAGTGTATCTTAGGCGATTTTGCAGCTTATAGCCTTGTATTTAGAGTCTTCCGTGCACACTTGATTACCGTGTCATACTATGTAATAAATGTATCAAGAATTCCTGCTGTATCCTCTTTATTCTTCCCCCAACATACTCGGGCGTAGCGGGCCACGTGCAGCAGTACTACCGCGGCGCGTTCACGGAGTACCCCTGCCTCTGGCGGAACTGCACGCGCGTGCGCAAGGGACAAGCGCCCTTCCCCAACCTGCCGAGGTTGCTACGTCACGTGAGAGACCTACACGTCAATAAGGGCAACGGAAAGATGATGGCCGTTCATGAGAGGTCCAGGTTAGTAGTGTTTTTTTTAGTATAACGTTGTGCGGTTTGCAAGTATAAAGTCGCTGAGGAGATAGAATTTCGTCCAATGATGACCCCAAGCTACCCCTATCAGCTCGCACACTCACAGCGGGCGCCCGTCGCACAGTCGCGACAGCAATATACTTAATTACGCGCGAGCGATAAGGATGGGAAGCTGGGGTCATTGGACGAAATTCTATGTACTCGGCGACCGCACTTTGCTAAAGGTAAAATTAGCCCAAACACTGGAACGGTGTCCGCAGTAATAATCTAATAATATAAGAAGTTTAAAACTTTGATACATTAAAGTTCATTTTCTTTCACCATTAGAAAGTAGTGCATGTTTTGGTGTAGTTTGTCAAAGCTGAGTTTATTTTAAAACTACGATTACGTGCACGTGTAATTTCTAATGCATTATATGTTTATGTTACAGGAATTTCGTGCCGTCAACAAAGAAACCACCGAAGACTTACACTGGCACTACCCGTAGCGGTGTTTTATCGCCAGGAGGTGTGTAAAAAAAATATTTACGTATTCTCAGTAACTTGGATTGTAAAAAGATTAATCCAACCTGAATGGTACACTAATTAATTACGATGCAGATGTGGATAAAATTTTATGGATGGAGACAGTTCTGGAAATTCCGTTACTTCATACGTAATACCTCCAACTAAATTATATGTTTTGTGTTATGAGTGTGGATTTACCACAATAATCTAACGGATGAGACCAACTACTACCGACCCTCGATTTGACTGTTTTTTGCCTCGGCCTTCCCTTTCTTCTTGGGAGGAGGGCTTTAGTCCTGCAGTGGACGTGTGGCTGAACGAAAGATACACCAGTTTCATAACTAATTCTTAATTAACGACCAAACAAGAGTAAATATTAATCTCAGAATAAATCGTCAGTTTTGACATATTTCCCACACTGAAACTGTCAATGTGCCAGTTATACCAGGAGTTATTCTCGGATAAAAGTTTGGTCGAATAGGGACTTAATATTGTTTAATAACTCTAAAAGACAATGCCGGAAATTGGCGTCTTTTTTTTTTCGCGCGGCTATCGACCAAACTGTTTTTTGATTACAAAATAGTGTAATAAACCATACTTACTATGAAATGTATACCTCAAAACTCAGTCTGAACTGAGTTACGAGCATTAGAATTTTGATGATTTTCATACTAGATTTGCTTTTTGCGCGCAAAGTTTTGTAAGAAATTGCAACAAAATAGTGAGATTGTATGTGCAAACAAACAATACCATCCATTATAGGCTCCAGACATCAGTATGGAGCAGAATCAGCGCGCATAAAAAAATTGCGCAATATTTTGTTGCAATTTCTTACAAAACTTGCGCACAAAAAGCAAATCTTGTATGAAAATCATCAAACTTCTAATGCTCGTAAACTCAGTTCAGACTGAGTTTAGAGGTATACATGCCATAGTAGTTTGGTTTATTACACTATTTTGTAACCAACAAACAAAGTTTAATCGATGGCCGCGCGAAAAAAAAAAGACGCCACTTTCCATACAAAATCTGGCATTGCCATTTTACATTGACATTGTTTCATAACTGCAATGTAACATTTCCAGCGTCACTGTCAGGCATGTCGCCTGTAGCCCGCAACACGCCGTCGCCCGGCGCGGGCGCAGGCGGCGCGGACGTGGCTGGAGCGCTGGTGGCGGGCGCCCGCGCGGGCTTGGAGCCGCTGTTCGTGGCCGCGCCGCCGCGAGCGCAGCGGGTCACGCACTCCGAGGCGTATATCAGGTGATGTAGGGGAGAGTTCGGTATATTGTACCGCCGGGTAAATTGTACCACCCTGATATTTCATAAAGTGTTTATTGAATGTCTGTAATTGCAACACTCGGCGATACACAACTAAAATCAATTAATATCGGCCATGTGGTTTTTGCCGTGACAACAAACACGTGTGTTTTATTTTGAAAAGTATTTTTTCATTGTTTTCAAGTAACTTTTGACAATACATGTTTCGTTTGTAATTTTGTTAAATTTAATCACAGGGTGTTTCTAATATATTATTTAGAAGCGTAAATTAGTGTGGATTACAATTATTTGAAACATTTTTCGGTATTTATGAGCTATATTTTTTACCGATTTTTTAAAAGCACTATCACCTAGTCGGCTAAATTGTACCACATCAAGTTGTATGGAANACGTGCGGCATTTTTAAGCAAGCGTTGACGTCACGGGCCTCTTCTTATGAACTTTGGGGCGCTTTATCTCTTTAAATTTTCATTAGTTTGAAAAAGTGAAAAATACGTGTAGAATATTTTTTGATAAGTTAACTGACGGACTAATTAAAACTCTTGCTTTTTGACCCAGGCAACATCCCCATTGGGGGAGACCTATGTTCAGCAGTGGACGTCGTATAGCAAAAAATATGATGATATTTTATGCTTCCGTGGAATATTTTTTTGAATTGAAGACTGAAGTTGTGTTTCTATAATTCTATAGTTTTTATGATTTTGCATTTAAGATGCAACTCAAACTGTTTTCATCAAATCAATAACGATAGCCGAAAACCAGTAAATTTTTCAAGGAATGTGTTGTTAACGTTCACATCTATTGCAGGTACATCGAAGGCCTGCACTCGGAGCAAAAGTACATCACTCCATGGGAGAAATCTCTCACTCCGATGCCTGTGAACCCCGACCCAGGTCATTACAACATGCACAAGCTGACTGCCGCCCACTGGATGACAGATGACGCCGTCAACGGCTATCTAGCTCAAGACAAGAGTTTGGCAGAAACTGACATCCAAAAGATGGATCAGAACTCAAAACTTCTGAAGGGATTGTGCGCATTGAGAGATTTCATGATGCGTGACGCACTATCTATTTACAAGAGCACTTGATGACGCAAGAAGTAATGACGCACTGAATATGGTGTGAAGTGTTGACAATCATGTTAATACGATTCAGCATGGACTGAAATTTAAGTTTAAGTATAGATATTTAGATTTTTCTAAGCTATAACGCAATCATGTTTTTTCACTATAAATCCAGACATTATATTAGTAAGTAAAGTAATTAATAAAATAATTAGATGTTACACCTGAATTTTTATTAAGTAAATAATTGAAAGAAGTAGTTATGTGTAAAGCTTATATTTAGTAGTAATAGTAAAAATATAAATACAATGTATTGAATGGCATAAATATGTCATCGGCGGCGATACAAAAGCGGCTCAGACGGACTCCACCTCTTCTTTTATAAGTCTAACTAGGTTGTTGAATTTGGAACCTTCGAATATTAGTACCTGGAACAAAAGTTATCAAACTTTTAATAAGAAATCATTACATTATTTAACTTCCATTAAATCTTTGACGTAAATAAACGTAATACGTATTTAATAATAAAATATCCGGATTGAAGATCCATACTAAATATCTGTACCCCCAGTGAAAACGGAGTTAAGTCGAAAATGGTGATTTTTGGGAAATCGCATTTGAAGTTAAAAAAAATCCTGCTTCGTCGCTATTATAGATAACTTGGTGAAATATTTTTTAGGTGAAAGGTAATGTTAGATATAATTAGGCAGTGTGCCAGTTTGGGAAATATAGCATGTAGTTTTTTCGTAATTAAATAAAAACCCAGTTATATCGCCATGCACGGCAACTTTACATTCGTGTAAAGTGATGTAATGGGACATAAATCATTTTACACCACACTGAATTGACCACCCGCTAACAAGTGTAAAGTGATACATTTTACGCCATTTCTGTTGATATTTTTTTGTTTCTTTAATTTTAGAAAAAGTTGTAAAACAAACATTAGTAATTACACTATGAGGAATCATTATTTCAGGTTATTTAGGGTAAATCGTCCAAAAATTTCTACTTATATCAATATACACCAATTTTGTGATGAGAAAAAAAATGTGTAAACTGATCTAACTAACATAATAGCGATCTAAGTATCCTAATAATTATGTGTAAAGTGATATAAGTGGCGATTGTAAAGGAATAAGGCTAGAATTTTAGAGTGGATTCTAATTATTTACTCCTTAAATGTTTATTCTGATCTGAAACTACTATTTTATTAATTATTACACCATATACCATGAATGATATCGGCCTAAATCACATACATTTTTTTTTTGTGTATATTAATATGAGTCATCTTATATTGTTAATCACAAATTCAATCTGAACAACTTCAATCGTGTAAAAAGTAGTAACACGAGTCGTACCTCTTGACACAATAAAAAATTGAAAGAAGCCTCCGGTACACTTTGTTAAAAGTAGACATGTATCAATATACACGAAAGAAAACTCAAAATTGGTTCACAAAGCCTTACTTGTATCATTTGGCACAAAATTATTTTCTTTTCTATACGTCGTAGAAACATACCGATTAGATACAAAAATAGCTAATTTTTCAGAGATTCACATTATGTTATAAAGTCAATTTTGATCTAAGTCGAGTTAGATCCCTTTTCACTGGGGGTACAGATATTGCTGAAAGAATTATTTTACAATATTACTCTCACAATACATAAAAGTTACAGGTGTGCTGGATATAGTTTGAAGTGATGTGACTTGCCGAGAAAATAACTTTATTTATTTATAAGTGGTCAGTTTGCAGATGAAACAAATTTCGAGATTTTAATTTCAGTTTATGCACTACACATTAGTCAAACCAGAACTTTATTATTAGTCTAGAAAAGAGATGAAAAATCCCAACTAATATTATAAATGCGAAAGTAACTATCTGTCACGCTTTCACGCCTAAACCACTGAATCCATTTTGATGTTAGGATTGGAGTCCCGGGAAAGCACATAGGATAGTTTCCATCCCGGTTTTTGAAACAGGGATGCGGGCGATAAAGTTTTTCTGTGACAAAAAAATTTTCACGCCTACGAGGTCGCGGACACAGCTAGTAAATCAAATAAGTCACAAAACTCACCTTCCTACAAGGCGTGAGAGCGCCTCCCTCGTAGTCCCATTGCGAAAGGTCTGCCTGCTCCGTCACGTCCACGTCAAAACTGCCCAGCGCTTCATCGGCTATCGGTTTCTCCTCTTGGTTCGCGAACAGAACCTCTGAGGCTTCAACTGAGGACAAGACATTGGGTGTTAGCTACATTTTTTTAAAATCAGGAAGAGACCTTGTTTTTGATCAGAAGAAATGTTTTGGAGTTTTTACAGGTAAACAATAGTTTTGTTATGAGAAGGAATATGGTTATATGGGTATGTCTCTAAAAGTTGTACCATCAAAGTAAATAATTTGAATTTCGTGAAGAAAATCTGGCCATGCCAATAAAATACAATTGCACAGAAATCATAATCATCATAACAAATACTGCATTCTTACATACACAAACTTATGACATCAATGATGTCACATCATAAGTTTGTTTGTGTATGTAAGAATACAATATTTGTTATGATGATTGGACGTTAGGGATGCCCAGTAATGGACTATGAGATGACAAATCTTAAATCAATAATGTTGATTTTAAATCTTTTTGCATCAAGTTAGATCTGAACTCACCGCCAGTATTGTAAGTTTTGCTTATCCAGATCAGGTACTGGAATGTGTATGGCATGTTCTTTTTAACTGCTTTCTCAAGTTCCGACTGTAGTGACGAGAATAGTGGCACACTGATTGCTGCTGGAATGTTGAGGATCCTGAAAAAATTGTATGGTCATCATTATTATCTATTATTCTAACTTAGTAAGATAATTATAAAAGCTTGTAATAAGATAAATTTCCAAGAACTTGGTACAATTATCTACTATTTTATCAACTCATAGCTGTTCTATCCCAACTAATATTATAAATGCGAAAGTAACTCTGTCTGTCTGTCTGTTACGCTTTCCCGCTTAAACCTCGCAACCGATTTTGATGAAATTTGGCATAGAGATAGTTTGAGTCCCGGGAAAGAACATAGGATAGTTTTTATCCCGGTTTTTGAAACAGGGACGCGCGCGATAAAGTTTTTCTGTGACAGACAAAATTCCACGCGGGCGAAGCCGCGGGCGGAAAGCTAGTGGTTTTATAAGTTTATTTCAGCTTTTTTTTCAACTAAATGTACTATTGGCAAAGTTCACATTAAAAGAAGGTATTATCTATTTCATAGAATTCAGAAATTGATGCGAGTTACCTTTCATTTATAACAAGACCAACTTGTGAGGCATCTTCAGACAAGATCTTTTTGATAAGTGCTTTTGTTCTGTCATTTGCATTTTCCTCTGCTAAAGTTGTCAATAAAGTTCTAATTTGTTGAATACATTTTTCTTCCTGAAATAACAAAAACATTTTAGTAACAACTGTGGATTCAATAAATAAATTCAAAGACAAGGTCTCAATGTCCAATTGAGCAATGACAGAAGCCCAATCGACAGGCTAAGGGCTGGTTTTTCAATCATCAGACATCTAAAATTGTTCTTCAGTTAAAAGTTATCAGATGATTGAAAAATCAGCCCTAGGTGTGTTATGACTAAGGTCTTGAACTTGATAATCACAACTACACTCAAACACATAATTAGGTATTTTGTACTTTCATGAAGTACAAACTGCATTTTTACTGCAAACTAGTAATAGCAGCTGGTATCCAGTATTCAAAAACCTACTTACTTTTCTTTTTGTTATATTGATAATGGTAGTAATTCCAAATACTCCGTCACTGCCATCATCTTCATCATCATCATCCTCCTGTCCGTTGTCCAAGCATTGTTTCACTACACTGCCAACGTAGTTTTGCGCTGGAATAAATTTTATTATCTTTACCATACAATAAATAGAAATTAATTAGTGCAATATTTTGGCAAATGTCACTTGTACTCTATTTTCTTGAAGACCTTTGAAGTACAATACAGGTGTAATAAATTATCTTTTATATGAAGAAACTTACAAATTATAATCTCAGCAAGACCTCCCAAGTCAACATCCGATTTCAGGAAGAGTTGGCGCAACAGTTGCTTGATGCCATGGAAATCACAATCTTCTGGATTGCGGCCTTCAAAGTCAGCTTGCAACTCCTAGAAAAATAAATAAAATGTTTGAATTAAATATTAAACTATTACAAACAATAAACATGTTACACATTAACAGTTATTTGATAACATTATGAAACAATTCTTTTTCAAATGGTTTTTTTGGTCAGAGGGAATAAAAAAAATATTGAAATTGAAAATTTTCTAAAATTGAGCCACCAATAGACGAGTGAAGGAATACCATTGGCTTTACCATTATTCTATGTAGGACACAACCAATACAAACTGGATGTATAAGAGCCACATGACTTTATGACTCATTGTTTCACTTTATTATGAAATGCGAGACCAAATTTTTCCATTGATTTTCCACAATACAGGCACATGACTGACATGCAAATGTTATGGTTGAGGAATTTTGTAATTGAGGATTTATGAAAAGTTTCATGACTAAATGCTGTTAATATCGTAGCGATACCAGGTTAAAGGTGTATTGAACATAAACAATGTAATAAATACACTAACATGTAAAATATAATGGCACGCCATGTGTTTGCAGGTTATGTTGCTAACGTACCTTGTCGCCGATGTAGTTTCCATCAGAATCAAAGTCTGAATCCTTCTCGCTGCCGGAGTCCTGCTCCTCCTCACTTTCGCTCTCAACCTGCTCAATATCCTTGTTCCTCTTGTTGGACATCATAATTTAATTTATTGCACAAGCCGCAACAACAACGCACTCGCAAATAAAATTTGACAGATAAAAAAAAAGAAAACAACAAAGATGATATTTCGTTAAAAAAGTTGCCAGTATAAAAATGAGAATCAGAGATATTGCAAAGCTAGGATAGGCTGTTCATTTCCAATCAAACATGCATGGAGCAGCCCAAACTGCCCAAAGAAAACTTTTAAAATAAAAGTGGAAAATTAGAAATTGCAATGACTGTTCCCTACCTGTATACTGTTAATGTTTTTGCCAATCAGCTAACAGTCCATTCGAAAAAAAAAGAAAAAAAAATCCTCTTGGCGGGAAAGTGGATGTCATGTTTGGGCTTCTTGGCGGGATAGTCAAAAGTAATGTTGGTAATGTCACGGTAATGTTTAGCACTGTTGATGTTTAATCGATTATTGGCAGCGTAATAATTGTGGATTATTATGTGTTCGTGAACGTGTATTAGTGCAAGAAATAAAAAATAAAAACAGTGCAACATTTCAAATTATCTTAAGAATTCCGCGTAAGCCATGAGGTCTCAATATAGTGCCATAATATCTTCAACCAAGAGAACGGGGAATCAATAATTTTTACGTCATTACATTTTTATTATGTTTATTAATGAATTAATTTTAGTACAGTTATTTTTGTATTTATGTAGGTAGTTACAAATATCTACTGTTTATAAATGTTGAGAAGCAGTGTGAAGTACGACCACGCTGTTTTGATAATCTGAAATAAAAGTAGGAAAAGTAATTATGTATTTTGATTAGGTTAGCAAACCTACTTGTTTTCCACTATAAATTATTTCTATGCTTTCGTGTTCTTAATAAATTGGCTATTAAGATTTCTTTTTAAAAATTCTAAAAGTGCTGATAAACTCACCGTAGTGTAGCTTGCAAGCGAAATTACAGAGAATCCGTATGTGGTTACGTGGACTTCCTTTTGTGACCTAAAAATAGGAAATGCACAGTGGGTAAGTACCAAAGTACCTAATCGTATTTTGGGTACAACACTTTCATGGACAGTGAACTGCTATAGCAGTCATAACAATTAAACTTTTACTGTGTCTGGGTTGCTGTCCGGGAAAGTGCTAATTAGTTTTTATTTTATCCCGAAACAAGAACCAAAATTTTAGACACCATCATGTTAATAGGGTATTTAAATTACATAACGGGACTATTCCCACCTCTCGTTGCGACCGCTGCAACTCCTGTGTAGCCAAGATCTACAGCTTGACCGCCAATAAAAACCCAACCAGTGAAGGTCAAGTTTATCCCGGGGGAAAGTTAAACTGTCATTTGAACTGCAACGAAATTAATTAGAAGAACATAGGAGGAGTTCAATGTTAAGAAAAGATAGGCACCACGGACAATAAACATCAATTAAGGGGACCTATCTTATGAGCCTACATGGAAAATGTGTAATAATTTTATACATAAGTAATTAAGTACCTGTGAATCATAATCAGAATGGAGCTCTTAATTTTCTTCGTGGCTTTGTACCATCCGCTGTTGTATAAAGCGTCTGACACGCCTTCACTCTGTAATTAATATTTTATTTGAAGTAATTAAGATAAGGAAGGACGCATTTGTAATGGAAGATTATTAAGTAAAGAGAGGGAGAAATGTAGCTCTTCATGCATGAAAATCGTGTATGTGATACATCTGAAAGAGCGCTTTGTTTTAATTCGTCTTCCTTGGAAGTTCGTTTCAGCCAAATGACGTCCACTGCTGGACAAAGGCCTCCCCCAAGGTTTTCCACAATGAACGGTCCTGCGCTGCCCGCATCCAGGCTCTTCCCGCGACCTTTACCAGATCGTCGGTCCACCTAGTAGGAGGCCTGCCCACGCCACGTTTTCCAGCCCGTGGTCGCCACTCGAGAACTTTCCTGCCCCAACGGCCATCGTCTCTACGAGCTATGTGCCCCGCCCACTGCCACTTGATTTTAGCAATTCTGCGAGCTATGTCGGTTACTTTGGTTCTCCTACGGATCTCCTCGTTTCTGATTCGATCACGCAGGGAAACTCCGAGCATAGCCCGCTCCATCGCCCTTTGGGTGACCTTGAGCCTTCTTATGAGGCCCATAGTAAGCGACCACGTTTCGGATCCATATGTCAACACTGGCAACACACACTGCTCGAAGACTTTCGTCTTGAGACACTGCGGTATTTCGGACATGAGTATATGGCGAAGCTTCCCGAACGCTGCCCATCCGAGTTGGATTCGACGATTGACCTCTTTCTCGAAGTTGGACCTACCTAACTGGACTGTTTGTCCCAGGTATACATAATTGTCGACAACTTCGAGTGTAGAGTCTCCAACCTTCAGAGGAGTGGGTGCAACACGGACATTAGACATGATTTTTGTCTTGTCCATGTTCATTCTGAGGCCCACTTGTTGAGAGGCTCTACTGAGGCCATCGAGCATTGTGCCTAGATCCTCCAAGGTCTCAGCCATGACTACGATATCGTCCGCGAATCGAAGGTGGGTGATGTACTCGCCGTTGATATTTATGCCAAATCCGTTCCAGTCCAGAAGCTTGAAGACATCTTCCAGGGCGGTGGTAAACAGTTTTGGAGATATGACGTCTCCCTGTCTTACCCCTCGCTGCAACTGGATAGGTTTCGAATCCCGATCCTGGAGGCGGACCGACATTGTGGCGTTTTTGTACAAATCCCTCAACACTTCGATATATCGATAGTCAATTTGGCACCTTTGGAGAGACTGTAGCACTGCCCAGGTCTCGACCGAATCGAAGGCTTTCTCATAATCCACAAACGCCAGGCAAAGTGGTTGATTATACTCCTCGGTCTTCTGTATAATCTGCCTTAGCGTATGTATGTGGTCTATGGTACTAAAGCCTTTTCGGAAACCGGCTTGTTCGNTTTTGGAGTTGGATGGGCGCTGGGCGGAGCGTAGACTTCATCAGTCGACATCTCTCGAGCTTGGGTCTGATATTCAATGTGCCTCTTACCATTCGGTGATCGCTTCCTGTTTTGACCGAATTGATCACAGAGACATCATTGAATATATGCTTCTTCGTCGACAAGATGAAGTCTATCTCATTTTTTGTAGCGCCATTGGGATGCAGCCATGTCCACTTTCGCTGTTTTGGCTTTCTGAAGAAGGAGTTCATCATAAAGAGGCCCTCCCTCTCCATAAAGCCAGCCAGCAGTTGGCCACGTGCGTTCCTCTCTCCGTACCCAAATTGCCCCACTTTCGGCTCATTATCGCTTCGTTTACCTAGCTTCGCGTTGAAGTCCCCCATCACAACGGTAAAATGGGACCGGGAGCCATGTATGGCTCTGGAAATATCCTCATACATGGTCTCCACTTCGTCGTCGGGGTGTTCCGTGGTCGGTGCGTATACCTGTATGACCTTCAGCGAATACCGTTTGGTGATTCTGAGTATCAGGTACACTACCCTCGCCGAAACACTCTCGATCTGGACCACGTTGTTGACAAGGGACTTGTGGACGATAAACCCGACACCACCCTGGGACTGCTGGTCGCCCTCCCGGAAATAGAGCAGGTTTCCGGATTTAAGAATTATGGTGTCCTCCCCCTCTCTTCGGACTTCACATAATCCCACGATATCCCACCGTAACCTGCTCAACTCTTCCTCGAGTTCCATTAGCTTCACGTCTGTACGCAGTGTGCGAGCGTTATAGGTTGCCAGGGCCAGAGGTCGTCGGTGTTGGTAGCCTGGCATCCCCCGGGGATTCTTCGCACCCCTTGCCCCACCGTTACCGTGACCGCTACCGTGGTCCGGGATAGTGGGGCCGCCGGGGACTAGGGGCCGTTTTTTTGTTTGTGCTACCATTTGGAGGGTTTTGCCCTAATCGCCACGCTTGGCAGGCGGGTTGGCGATCGCAGTTTTTTACTTGGTTTCGCACGCAGACGCTGCTGCCCGTCCGGTGCTACAGGAGTTTGTCGCCTCTTACGACACGCCTCCTGTGGGCGGTGGGGAAAAGTATTCTTTTACGGCCGTCCCCACACGGCACTTCTTTGGTAGATTTGAACACTCTTCCTTGGTAGATTTGAACAAAATGTAATGGCTTAAGTATGTCAGTCAAAATTAAGTTTTTAAATTTCTATTATCGATATCGTAATGTTTAACTAAGTAGTTCTGCTAGTACCTACCTACCTAAAAAGTAAAGTACAGTTTTGTGGAAGTCCTAAAGGCCTCCCCGCCTTTGTCCAGCGAACGTCTTTCGGCTGAAACGAACAGTTTTGTGCTTTTGGTAGTAACATTCAAAATAATGTAACAAACCTATGACATCGATATTGTCCCTTACGACTTTTAAAATGTCCATCCATCCATGGTACATAAGTTTCAGTCTGTCACGTCTGAATCACGTAATTTCACGACCCGAAGAATTCACAAAACATATTTTCCCCAGACGCCATCTTTACATGGAATTTAAATGGAAATTCCTTTATCGAGAGCTCGAGATTAAAATTGGAATAATTACGCGATGTTGTATTAATCGAAGTACAGACGTCGGTACGTGTATTTAAACACTGTAGCATCTTATTTAGTGGTAATAGGTGTTATTTTAGCGCAAAAATGTATAGCCTGTATACCTCTAGCACGAAAACTTTCACCTTCAAATCGTTTGCGTATTCGACAAAATTCGATACAGCCTTTGAATTCAACGATAATGTGACGGTCTCTATTGTCAAAATTAGTTTCGTGCTACCATTTCTCTTAAGTTCACTTCACGTCACGTTCACAGGGGCGCTGTTAAAGTTTTCATACTAAATCTTTTGATGGCGATTCGATTACGCAAACGATTTGGAGTCGAAAGTTTTTCGTGCTAGAGTTACTATATGGTCGACTGTACAGATTATGTCGGGATCGGCTATGAATAGCCGTTGCCGGATTAGGACCTCGGGACTCGCAGATTGCTTTAAACGAGTACTTATTTATGATCCGCTGGGCTTAATGTTATTAGAGTTTGTATTTTTAAGTGCTTGAGGTTTATACAGATTAATTGGAAGCTTGTATAAGCAGCTGATAAGTATTTTGCGGAGCGCAACCCGTGAAATGTTCTAATTTCCTTAAACTTACAACTTCTAAAATTTTTTTTCATCGGATTAAAGCTAAAATGGCGTTCTTTTCGAAAATTTACTCGAATGTTTAAGTTAAGTGAAGTACTAGTATTTATTCTGTGGATAAGTTAGGTTTAAGAGAACAAATAAAATATGTAACACGACAACTTCAATCGCTTTAAAATAAGCTAAATAAAGCGTGAAGCGTTTTTTCTTATTAAGGGGGAATTTACTCGAAAGTTTAGTAGGTACCTACTCATGGTTTAACCAAAGAATAAATACAAGTGAGAGTGAGAACAAATAAAGTTAGATACTCGTACCTACACGCGAAAAAACCTTTTAGAGTGAGGTTAGAATCGACTAAAATAAACTGGCTAGACTCTACCGTAAAATAACGTAAAGGAAGAACATGAAAAGTTAAGGGCATTAAATCTACAGAAAGTCACTATAAAATTCTATTAGCGCGCTAGAAAAGGTTTTCAGCGTAGGTTGTAGAAAACAATCTACTCATCGCAAACATATCCTTTTGTACACATATGTACATACTTGTAGCAGATTTCAGTAGATATGTTACAGTCAAAACTCATAATCGGTCAAAACCACTTTTGACTGTAAATATCAGTCAAAAGTAGTTTTTACTGATGCCCTTGGGCAATATGACATTTTTTGCAGCTAAAAGTGATTTTTGCAGTCAAAAGTGGTTTTGACTGATTATGAGTTTTGAATGCAACAGATACAAAAGGCATCATAAAAAGGACAAGATCAGTGTTGTTCTATAGACCACTGTCCAGAGATTATCGATATGAATCCATTGTTGGTAATTTTAATGAAAAGGTCACAGTGCGATGGTATAGCACTCTCGATTAAAGCTAATATGAAGTCAGAATGTTTATAAATGGTGCTGATAAAAATTAAACTTTGACTTGTATTAAATTATTGATATTTCCTTCTAAATAAATAAACAAAGTTTAAATTATTTGCAAAGTTAGCATAAACTCGTTTGGTTTCGTCGCTAATAATTATTTTACTTCGTCAATTACAATCACATCGTAGGTAATAATTATAGTGTCCTAGTTATTAGAGTAGCTATCGATATCTTGGCAACGTTATTGAATAGAAAAAATAGGAGGAAGTTTGCTTGGGATTATCCTCTAAGGCCCTATCTAGGGCTTACAACGGATAGATATCATAATGTGCTCTATTCCATCCTGTGTCCAATAAAGATTATATACAATACATGCTTACCGTGCCTATCAGCAAATATTGACATAACAGATTATCTGAAGAATATTATCAGAAAGAAAGCTTTCTGATAATAATATTATTCTTCCTAGATGTAAGAAAAATCTTTATATTTTTCTATTCTTTAGGCAAATCATTCATAGATGTTAACGCAGTAGGTACCTATTTACTAAAGAGCTAGGTATTAAAACTTTTTAGCCCGCAAACTACTTCTGTTAACCCCTCCTAAACTAAGTTATTTAAATATCAGAACTGACGGCCGATGGGGCAGCAAGGTTCTGGAGTGGAGGCCGCGTACCGGAAAACGCAGTGTGTGACGTCCACCCACAAAGTGGACCGACGACATCATAAAGGTATAGTCTGGTCCGTAAGCACGTAGAATTTTGTCCACTGACCCCAAGCTACCCATCCTTATTGCTCGCGCGTAATTATGTTGCTATCGTGCTCGCATACTCACTGCGGGTGCCAGTCGCACAGTCGCGACAGCAATATAATTACGCGCGAGCGATAAGGACGGGTAGCTAGGGGTCATTGGACAAAATTCTACGTGCTCACGGACCGGGCTTTAGCAGGAAAGCGCTGGACGCAAGCCGCTACCAACCGGGTAACATAGAAATCATTGGGGGAGGCCTATGTTCAGCAGTGGACGTCCTATGGCTGGCTGAGATGATGATGATGATGATACATTTATCTACCTATTATGTGTTTACCACAATAGTCCAGCGGTCGACAGGGATCGAACTAAATATCGGCAGTTTGACGCCGAACCGAGATCGTTGGTTTAGTGGTCGTTCGTTCGTGTTAGCCAAATACGTCCACTGCTGGACAAAGGCCTCCCTCTAGGAATTTCACAACGACTGGTCCTGCTTTGCCCGCATCCAGATATTTCCCGTGACTTTCACTAGATCGTCGGTGAACCTAGCGAGAGGCCTGCCCATACAACGACTTTTCTTTTAATGTTACCTGGTTATTAATCACAGATATTCAGTAATCTATAATATTTCTGTGCCATTAATTTACCGATTCCAGGAGCCTCTGACCGTACCAGCACAGCAGCCATGTTTGGGACAGTGCCGTCGTCAGGAACGATTTATAGACCATTTCGTTCCATTTCTCAACGATCTGGAAACAAAAACATTTTCTAGTGGAATTAATACATACGAGTAGTTAGTAATGTTACTTACTAAAATATTGTTTTCCGTGGATTCTTTCTGTCACAAAAAGTTTTAGTTAACCAAGCGTCCTTAACCAAAAACACTTTCGCCCGTATTCACAAACATTACTATGAGGTCTCACAGTGCATGTGGACGCACAGGGTGACACACGAACCAATCACAGTGCAATATTCAACGCTGTGCGTTCGATTTGCTGCTTCACTTAAGCAAGCATCGTTTGTTAATATGGGCGTTAGGTACAATAATTGTTTTGCATGGATTATTTCCGTCGCAGAAAGTTTTTACCAAGCGTCCTTTACCAAAAACACTGTTCTTAATTTAGACTTTCGTATTCTTAACCTGAGATATTATATGACTCTTGTGACAAAATATTTTTTAATCAAAAAGCTCTTTCTTAAATAAAAACTTTCAAGCATCGACTTCAGACTGTGCTTAAGTAGGTAGTTGAATTTATATTTGGATATTCTAGATCTAAACTAAGTCTGTCTGGGTGTCTTCTGTCTTACTTGAATTTAAGAAAGTATTCTTAGTATCGTTGTTACGCTCGTATTCACAAACGATGCTTGCTGAAGAGAAGCAGCAAATCGAAGGCACAGCGTTGAATACAGCTCTATGATTGGCTCGTGTGTCACCCTGTGCGTCCACGCGCACTGTGAGACCTCATAGTTACGTTTGTGAATACGGGCGTTAGAATCCACACGATTTAATTTTAGTGTGGGTTGTATGTGACAACTGAAGTGTTAACCTCTTACGTCTTCACACAGAAAACAAAACACTGTTTTGAGATAGGACTTCTACATAAATAATGATAGGTAAAAGGAATTTGCAAATGGATTACGACTTTGTGGAATTCGCGGGAAATTCAGTCACATAAGTCTAAACTAGCAAGGAACAGCTAGCTTTAACTCAAGTTAAAGCTTACTGTTTAACTGCTGTTGTTTCCTATTCAATTAGGAATAAGGAGAAACTTGAGGAGAAATAACAATGACAAAGACAAAAGTAATAGCAAAAAAATTTGTAAAGAAACCTCCATTATTCATTTCAATGTATATCCAATCATCCATTATTATCAAATCAAATTAGAGTTAACACAGAAAGGTCTTTTTTGCTGTCCCAAAGTATCGTTCAATTACAATCTTCTGATAAAATTCACTCGTGTCTACTTAGTTCAGAATTTTAATTAATTTTTCCACACATGTAACACGGGTAATCGTCGAAAAACTAATTTTCTCACAATCGCTGTGAATCTATTGCCCATTGAAATACCAATGCCATTTGAAATTAATTAAAAAATAGTGATACAATACTCGCACTTCTATTTATTTGTTAGATCATTTATCATCATTCGGTCTGATCATCACTTACCATCAGGTGAGATACAGGCCAAGGGTTTCCTCGTTGTGGATAAAAAAATATAATCTCAAAATCTCATAGACCTATCTTACAAAGTCGTCTTTTCTATAGGCCATGGGCGGCTACTTATTGCCATTTCAATTTTCAACTGAGCAAATTGAAAAAGTAAATCAGAAAACAATATACTTAACTATGAAAACAAAACCACGTGACTGAGTTTATTAAAGAGTTTAACAATGAGTGAACAAACCAATTAAAACGAATTGCCCTACACCCTCGACCAACGAAATAGGACACAGGTATGTGTAATTAATTTAATGTTGTGCAAGTCAATTTCAATCACCCGTTTCAGTGTTATTTAACTTACGTAAGCAATTTAAATGCACGATGAAGAAGAATTCGGTATTTTTGATATGGGCCGGCGAATAGTTACGGAGCTAATTTCCTGTGTCAAACAGACAGGAAAGGGCCAGAAAACTTGTTATATTTTGTATAGAATAGATAGTGCCATCCACGAAGACGCGCCCTACCAATTTTTGGTCGAGGGAAGCGCGGGGTTCTGGGAATTTGATCCGAGCGTCAGTCGCGAAATATTATAGTGTACGTGTGTACTCATGGATAATTAGCGTGTACCGATAACACTCAAACATTAGCGGAAGCATGCATACATAAACTACAAACGATTAGGACGAATGGTGGGGCGCGTCTTCGTGGATGGCACTATCTATACCAAGAGGAAATCACCTGTGACAGACAGACATTGATACACGAGGCAATGTACGTACCGGATAGCGTAGCGTAGGTCGTCCACCCACAAGGTGCGCTGGATGCAGGCCGCCACCAACCGGCCATTGTGGAAATCATTGGGGGAGGTTTATGTTCAGCAGTGGACGTCCTATGGCTAAAATGATGATGATGATAATGATGATGACACGAGAAAATGTACGGAACCGTAAAAATAACTTACAACACAGCAGAACCCACAGAAGCAGATGATGATGGAACTGTTGAAAAAGTTGACCAGTAGCGCGAAGCTAAACAAGTTCTCTACGTCTCCTGCAAGCCTGTAAGCATAATTTTTTCGTTAGGAGATAAGATAACGCAAATTTTTCGGCCGTTTGGTGTAGTGGTTCAGAACGGACTACTATGCAGAGAGGTCCCGAGTTCGATTCCCGGTCGGGCAGAAATTGAAATGATGAATTTTAATTTCTGTGACGGGTCTGGGTGTTTTCTATGTATAATTATGTATGTATTTACAAAAAAAAGTATTTAAGTATGTTTATATCCGTTGTCTAGTACCCATAGTACAAGCTTTGCTTAGTTTGGGACTAGCGGCGCAGTGTAAAATGTCCAAGGATATTTAAATAAAAAAAAGAATTTAAACACTAATGGCATCTTATGATGTAAGTAAGATGCTATTTGCAAAAATGTGCACTAATTGCTGTGCAAGGAAAGAAAAAAAAATAGTTGGTTTGGTACCATATCACAGAATAAAAATAAGTACTACGTAACCATATCGGTAAACACTAATGAGTAAAGTCAGCGTCAAAGTTCGTGACTACCAAAGTAACTAGCCAAAAAGTTCGCGTCATGTCTTTGTTTTATGGAATAAGTTTGCTATGTCAACTTTTTGACCACTTTGGGTATCACGAACGAACTATTTGACGCTGACTGAGACGAGACGAGATATTATTAGGAGCTTTTATAAAAACCTTTTCTCTGAGAATAAGTAAGCTGAGCTTAACAAAAAACTTTCTATGTAATTTTAGGAAATACTTCCAGGCGACGTGTCGCTTACTATGAACGGTATTTCATGGAAATACATAGAAACCAGTGCAGTAGTGTCGCTGTGACACGTCGTCCGCTACCAACTTGTACCTAGAGTGCGATATAAGTGGACGTTAGTTTTCAAACTAAATTAATGACCAAAGTTCTTGATATAACCTGATCAAAGCGTGATGCCTCCGTATTATATTAGCCAGCAGCTTTCGGTGTGTCCTCTCCCAGTCGGCGTCGTTATACATGTCGATAGCCGCCTTGTTGGTGAGGAGGTGCTCTTCAGTGTATTCCGCTTTGAAAGGGTTAAATATTCGTATTATTCGTTGAGCATTTGTATTATTAAACTGTTGCTACGATTGTTCTATACTACGGTTTTCGTAGCAATGTAGCGCAACAATAGGTTAGTGGGTTCTATATTGGCTCACATAAAATTCTAAATCCTATTCTTTGTCTTACTACCGATTTGTGTTCATAATAATCTCTCTTCATAATTTTATTTTTCATACTTTTTTTATTCATACATTTTTATTCCTACAATCGGAGCTCATAAAAGTTAGTAATCATAATTTTTTTATCAATACTGTTACTACCAAGAACCATTTAAAATACATAATTTTTATTTTCAGATCTTTTTTCTTCATAACATTCATTGATCATATTGTTTTAATTAATAATGTTGTTACTAAGAACATACTTCAACTCATAATGTTGTTGTTCAGAATAATTTACTTTATAACAGACATACTCGTATCTTTAAAAAAATCATATATAATTTAATAGAGTAGATAAGCATGCAGAGCATGCAGCATGAAAGCAAGCATGCAGCATGCATTGGTATCTCCTCGTCTCCGGCGCTGCGGGATGTGCAGCCCTTCCGCCCTTGCGTAACGAGGCTCAGGCACCCACGCTTGCTTCCGCAGCTTCGGCTTTTTGGATCGCCATCGGCGCCTTCGGCGCCTCGGCGACCAGCCTCAGCCGCTCCAGCTCACCCGGGCGCCTGAGCCTCGTTACAGCGGGCGAGGGCTGCCCTCCCTCCGCGCCTCCGGCTTTTAAATTACACTCTAGGGGTAGGGCAGACAAGACTACGTGGAGTCGGTTTTGCAGCGATTCGTTTCTGTCACGTTAGTTTTGTGGCACAAAATATTGCCTGTTTTGGACCATTTCAAATTAATTTAATGTTAAAATACGATTTAATACGAATATAGACATCATGATTTTCAATAATATGGAAAAATACACTTATGAGTAATAAATTTATGAAAACAAATATTAGGATACATCACATTTATGAATATTATAGTTATTTATTCGAATGATTATGAGTTTCGATCATTAGTATAGAAAAATATATGAAAACAAATATTAGTAAAAACTAAGTGTATGATTAGTGATATTATGAATATCAATGATTATGTTTTTAAATATGTAGGTTTTAAATTTTTTATGAAGAATGATCATTATGGTATCAAATTGTATGAGAAATATTTTCGGACCTCCAATGATAGGAATTGAAAAGTTATGTAAGAAAATGCGCTACCAGGTTAGTGTGATCGTACGCAGATGAACTTATTAGGAATCTGTCAGACTGGATGCGGTCTGCGGTCAGGTCAAAGTGAATGCAGCCCACATTATTATGTATGAATTATGATTACTTTGACCTGACCGCATCCAGTGCAGTGCGGCAAATCCAGTCTATGCTACGGTTTTCGTAGCACTTCGTAGCCCAAATAGCACGGTCGCAATAATTTGAAACTATCACATAATCACATATATCGCCCGTATTCACAAACATTACTATGAGGTCTCACAGTGCGCGTGGATGCACAGGGTGACACACGAACCAATCACAGAGCTAGAGCTCTGACACACACAGCACAGAGCTAGAGCAGCAAACCGAACACAGCGTTGAATCTATTCAGTTTGCTGCTTTACTTAAGCAAGCATCTTTTGTGAATACGGGCGATAGTCACACAGGAGACGATAGGGTTTTAACGTTTAATCATGCAGTTTTTTTTAATTGTCCTACTTTTGAAAAATGATTATGGTCTCAGTTCCTTACCCAAAGGATACTCCTTGACCAGCTGTCCGTCTACCGGCACATATATCAGCTTCTTGATCCTCACTGAGAGCAGGTCGAACTGCGTCGTGATGTGGCTGAGGAAGATGCAGAATAGCAGGTCCCCGCATAGCATGAACCAGATGGTTATCAGACCTGGTGTCAGAAATCGCAGATATATAACTCAAAGGTGACTGACTGACTGATTGACTCACATACTGATCTATCAACGCACAGCCCAAACACCTGGATGGATCGGGCTGAAATTTGGCATGCAGGTAGATGTTATGACGTAGGCATCTGCTAAGAAAGGATTTTACAAAACTCCACCCCTAAGGGGGTAAAACGGGATCCACGCGTAGGAAGTCGCGGGCGGCCGCTAGTTTCATAATAAACAATGTTAAAAGGTTATAATATTCTCTTGAATAAGTATCTAAAGAGTTATTTCGTTCGTTACAGCAAAAAATCGTCATCTGCGGAACTGAAGCTGTTCCCTTCACTTTTTACTTGTTCACTAGATCATCGGTCCGCCGAGTGTTAGGTCTGCCTATACTACGTTGTCTGCTTACTTATGTATCTTTAATATTGTAACAATCCAACGTCAAAGGCAGTTCAGCCATGCAAACATTTGCCTTATAAAGGTAATGGCTGTACCGGCACTTAAGTCAATATCTCGTGAGACTTTGAAAGCGTTATGTCATAAAGCTTTTAGGAAGAATGTAAAATTTGAAAATAATATTCCTCACATGCTTACCATGGCATTGTTATGGCTTAACCAACTTTGAAAAAGTCATTACCTACTGGTAACATAAATTCAACTTCCTGGTGACCTTTTTTTGAAAATGTATTATTTAGTTTTCTATTTTTTTAAATAATATCTTAAGTTTCTGAAAGATAATGTTTTATATCAAGATGTCTCTTTTTCTTTCCAGCAGGAACATTTCCACTGCTGGGCAAAAAGTAATATCTCCTTATCACTTTTGTAATGTAATATTCACAATGTTTTTGGTTTTTACTGCACCAAACTTGCATATACCATAAAGTAGACTACCTCACCATGCCAAGTTTGGAAGGCAAGTATTACCTTGTCGTGGGCAGGCTTTCCACTAGATGGACTGACGATTTGGTGAAGGTCGCGGGAAGTACCTGGATGCGGGCAGTGCAGGACGGTTCGTTGTGGAAATCCTTGTTATGAAAAAAAAAGCCAGGAAGGCCAGTATGACCTCGTAGTAGATCCTCGCAAAGGGGTCAAAAGGGAACTAGTAGAAGCCTTCTTCTACTGGTATGATGGCAGGATGAGCGGCACGCTGTGCCCCATGGCATAGCGTACTAACTTTTGTTTAAATACAATATGCTGTAATGGACGAAAGAATTCTTACCATGCCATGTCTGGAACGCCAGTATGACCTCGTAGTAGATCCTCGCGAAGGGGTCGAAGGGGAACCAGTAGAAGAAGGGCAGAATAAGCGGGACGTTCTGCCCCATGGCTCGCTTGAGGATCTCCACGAAGGGCGGCGAGAGGAAGATGACTAGGAGGGCGTTGTTGCACCAGTAGTAGCCTGAGAAATGGTAGAGCATTTTTATGATGTTTTTTAACGTAAAGAGGATCAATGACTGATGATATCCCGAACTATGTATTTCTGGAAATCAGTAAGAGAGACTAATGAATGGAATGAAATAAAGATTTATATTATTGACTATTGATAAAATAAAATTCTAAAATATTTTTTTTTTTTATTAGATACGTA